ATCAATGATTGTGTGTACATATGTGAGATTATGCTAACATCTCTACATTTGTGCATACATTTTAGATTATGAGTACACATCTAGATTATGAGTACACATCTAGATTATGAGTACACATCTAGATTATGAGTACACACACATCTAGGTTATGAGTACACCTCTAGGTTTTTATGTATCCTGACTCTATACACCCAGATGTCCGTATATTTATAAATCTGGTTTTTTTTTGTGTGTGGTTATATGAGGACCTCTGTTTCTCATTTCAGTCTGTTAGAACATTCACTTGTCAGACATCCAGCTGTCCAGGTTTTTAAGTGTCCCTGTAACGTGCAAATTGGGTTGAAATATTGTTTTTGTTTCTTGCCCATTTCTGACAGGTTTACGTTCATTTGATTTTGTTTGGTTACATTGTGTTTTTAAACTTTATAATGATCTCCATTTTTGGATGAAAATTTCACGTTCCTTTCATTTAAAACAAGTCAGTTTTTGAAGAGATGAGTGAGTCCGCTGGAAGATTAGATCGCAGGGGCAGTATCTTGTCTGTGTTGTGTGTCTATTGTGTTTATCCTTGTGACTGCCTCTCTTCTTTTATACAAATAATTAATCATATATGTGTTACTTTATTATGTACAAATGTTTTGATTTGTGCAGATGATTAAAAAAAAAGAGAGAGATTGTCTTCTTAATGCAAGTGATGTTCCAATGAATCTATAGATGTCTTATTTGTCTTAGCTGGTGAATTGCAAAACATCTATGTTTGTCTTTTGCTGTGCCTGCAGGCAATAAATCTGACCATTTATGTTCAGTTTTATTTGCAGTGCACTACCTGTCTAATTTGTTTCTGAAATTTTAAATATTATAATTTTTTGTGTGTCTAGTTTGATGTTGATTATAGAAATTCATATGTCTTGTTCTATATGTCAGTGATTCCAGGCTGTGAAATATGTCTGTTACTTCCTGGTTGTAATATATGTCTGTTACTTCCTGGCTGTAATATATGTCTGTTACTTCCTGGCTGTGAAATATGTCTGTTACTTCCTGGCTGTAATATATGTCTGTTACTTCCTGGCTGTAATATATGTCTGTTACTTCCTGGCTGTAATATATGTCTGTTACTTCCTGGCTGTGAAATATGTCTGTTACTTCCTGGCTGTGAAATATGTCTGTTACTTCCTGGCTGTAATATATGTCTGTTACTTCCTGGCTGTGAAATATGTCTGTTACTTCCTGGCTGTAATATATGTCTGTTACTTCATGGTTGTAATATATGTCTGTTACTTCATGGCTGTAATATATGTCTGTTACTTCCTGGTTGTAATATATGTCTGTTACTTCCTGGCTGTGAAATATGTCTGTTACTTCCTGGCTGTAATATATGTCTGTTACTTCCTGGCTGTGAAATATGTCTGTTACTTCCTGGCTGTAATATATGTCTGTTACTTCATGGTTGTAATATATGTCTGTTACTTCATGGCTGTAATATATGTCTGTTACTTCCTGGTTGTAATTTATGTCTGTTACTTCCTGGCTGTAATATATGTCTGTTACTTCATGGCTGTAATATATGTCTGTTACTTCATGGCTGTAATATATGTCTGTTACTTCCTGGCTGTGAAATATGTCTGTTACTTCCTGGCTGTAATATATGTCTGTTACTTCATGGTTGTAATATATGTCTGTTACTTCATGGCTGTAATATATGTCTGTTACTTCCTGGCTGCAATATATGTCTGTTACTTCCTGGCTGTAATATATGTCTGTTACTTCCTGGTTGTAATTTATGTCTGTTACTTCCTGGTTGTAATTTATGTCTGTTACTTCCTGGTTGTAATTTATGTCTGTTACTTCCTGGCTGTAATTTATGTCTGTTACTTCCTGGCTGTAATTTATGTCTGTTACTTCCTGGTTGTAATTTATGTCTGTTACTTCATGGCTGTAATTTATGTCTGTTACTTCCTGGTTGTAATTTATGTCTGTTACTTCCTGGTTGTAATTTATGTCTGTTACTTCCTGGTTGTAATTTATGTCTGTTACTTCCTGGTTGTAATTTATGTCTGTTACTTCCTGGTTGTAATTTATGTCTGTTACTTCATGGCTGTAATATATGTCTGTTACTTCCTGGCTGTGAAATATGTCTGTTACTTCCTGGCTGTAATATATGTCTGTTACTTCATGGTTGTAATATATGTCTGTTACTTCATAGCTGTAATATATGTCTGTTACTTCCTGGCTGCAATATATGTCTGTTACTTCCTGGCTGTAATATATGTCTGTTACTTCCTGGTTGTAATTTGTGTCTGTTACTTCCTGGCTGTAATATATGTCTGTTACTTCCTGGCTGTAATATATGTCTGTTACTTCCTGGTTGTAATTTATGTCTGTTACTTCCTGGTTGTAATTTATGTCTGTTACTTCCTGGCTGTAATATATGTCTGTTACTTCCTGGTTGTAATTTATGTCTGTTACTTCATGGCTGTAATTTATGTCTGTTACTTCCTGGTTGTAATATATGTCTGTTACTTCCTGGCTGTAATTTATGTCTGTTACTTCCTGGTTGTAATATATGTCTGTTACTTCATGGCTGTAATTTATGTCTGTTACTTCCTGGCTGTAATTTATGTCTGTTACTTCCTGGCTGTAATTTATGTCTGTTACTTCCTGGCTGTAATATATGTCTGTTACTTCATGGCTGTAATATATGTCTGTTACTTCATGGCCGTAATATATGTCTGTTACTTCCTGGCTGTGAAATATGTCTGTAGTTCCTGGTTGTAAAATATGTCTGTTACTTCCTGGCTGTATTCATCGATTCCTGGCTGTATTTGTTGATTCCTGGCTGTATTCGTCGATTCCTGGCTGTATTCATCAGCATCATAACACTATGATAGAGTTGCATGAAGCATGTAAATGGACATTGAGTCTTGTAGTGTGAATTCACCCATTGTGGCTGCACACTGAGCTCATAGCTCCATGATTGTATTCAGTTTGATGTGTTGTACAATGCTTATCTGTGCAGTGTGATTGCCACAAGTAGATCTGATTTTAATTGCTGCCTTGTGACTGTATCCAACATTCTACTATATGCATGTAAGGGATCACTCACATTTGGCTTTATAGGGCTCTTTTTTTGTGGGGTCATATAATAATCTTTGTTAATGATGTCATTTTCAGAAAATAAGTTCTGGTTTCATTTGAGAGAGCACTGTCTAACTTTAGATAGGATGTTGATGTATTTCATTATGCTGTCTAACCCTCGATGGGGCAGCAATTTTTAACTGGGATTTCCTGATTTTATGTTTGAGAGCAGTGTCTAACTTTATATTTCTTTCCCTCTTTCTTCTTTTGTTTTCCTTCTTTTTTTTTACCCCATTTTTTAAAACTTTTTCTAACTTTGAAAATAACAAATTATCCTTAGCTGTACAGGCAAGTGAGAACACTAGCCTTGAAGGCCTGAATCCTCAGGTCCAAACCTCCCCCTCCCCTCCCCTCCCCATAGCCTAGGCCAGCCTAAAATTGGTGGGTACAGAACAGATACAACCAGTCATTTCTAGAGCCATCCATAGCTGACAGGCTGGCTGTGGCAGTGGTTGCTGGTGAATGTCTACTGTGTCTTTGGCTGACATCTTGTCCTACAAGCATGTGTGTGAATGCAGTGGTTGCTTGTGCTTCTTGCGTATCATTTATTTATTGATATATCTCCATCCTGCCTTGAGATGTAGAGGAATCTTGCAGCATTTTGTGAATTGTCCAATTGTGATGGGTGATCTAGCTTATTTTGATACATTTATAAGACATAGTTTTGGGTGGTCCAGCTGAGACTTAAAAAGAACCTCATGCCAAAAATGAACTTGAGACTTTGACTTCAGTATTCAATTTTCTTCTGTTGCTGTGTCTTGGTACAGTTCAACACTCGCTACTTGATTTGTCTGACTACAGCCAGTAAGATCCTTTGCAGGAAATCAGTCTCTAAAGTCCTGTTTTTGGACTGCAGCTGTATTATAATCTACGTTAGTGTGTGCTGACAGGCTGAGTGTAATTGTTTTGCTTTCTGTTACTTGTGATTTGTAGTGGCCGCCTCCATTACTTTTTGTTGTTGTTTATCTTTGGGACATATTTCTGAGACATAGCTGCCATCTAATAGACTTGTTTGATTTCTCTCCCTCTTTTGTCTCTGACATAGACATGGAGACTATCCAGTTGAAGATCCATGAAGGGAACAACTCCCATGGCACTAATGCTCACCCAGATGGAGCCAACAACCAGGTCAGTTGCACATATTGGGTTTGTATCACAGTCATGATAGGTGAACGTTTCATCAGTATGTTTTATAGATACCCTAACTAGAAAATGGTGCACATGTGCATCTTACAGATAACCTAGCTCAAATATGCACATGTAGTCAGTGCAGTGCATCTTTTATATAACCTAGCTAAAATATGCACATGTAGTCAGTGCAGTGCATCTTATATATAACCTAGCTACAAGTTAGTGCATGTTTAGTCAGTGCAGTACATCTTTTAGATAACCTAGCTAGAAGTTGGTGCACATTTAGTCAAGTGTATCTTATAACCTAGATAGAAGTTGGTGCACATTTATAGTCGTGTATCTTATGGATAACCTAGCTTGAAGTTGATACGCATTTAGTCTATTTGATTTTAAAAAAAACCTGGCTAGAAGTTGGTGCACATTTTATCAGTGTATCTCACAGACAACCTAGTTGGTGCACATATAGTCTGTGTATCTCATGGAGAATCTAGTTGGTTCACATTTAGTCACAGAAAACCTCGCTAGAAGTTGGTGCACATTTAGTCATTGTATCTGATAGACAATTTAGTTGCTGCACATTTAGTCAGAGCATTTTTAGATAACAGCTAGAATTAGTGCACATTTAGTCAGTGTATCATTGTACTCTTATCTAATAGGCAGTACAGTCAGTCAGTTTATCTTTTTTTTTTGGGTGTAAAATATATGTATGTGTGTGCGTGTGTGTTGCCTCTCAGGTTGCTAACCAAGTTGACAGTTCTCCTGAGGCTGCCCCTGAGGAACAAAAGGTCAAGAGTGGCTCCAGAAAGGAGAAATCTGTCCTACAGTCCAAACTGACCAGACTGGCCATCCAGATAGGATATGCAGGTATGTCTGACAATGTTATGTTCTTCCATTTGGTTTTCTCCAAGGGGGTTCTAAGGCCCCATTTGGGGGGAGGATAGACCCACCATCCTTTAACAAGCGTGTCTCAGGGAAGACTAATTAGGAGTTTAAATGATGGTCGTCTACTAGATGATATCAATAAAGGCTTGAATAACCTGCTGTTTTCCTCGTCCATCTCAACGACTCTCTGATACCCATGTTACCAGAATGGGGTGATGTTAGAGCAGTAGAGGGCCCTTTTTACACCATTGCTTCATTCAGCATATGAGGCTGCAATCATACTTTGAAGACCAATGGGCATTTGATTCACCGTTATTTCGAAGACATTGCCTGGGACCCATTTGGCCTGGACCAACATGAGCTGTATGATCTTATTTTGTTGTCTCGCTAATGCCAGGTGAAAGCCCTGTCGCAGTTTTCTGTATTCGTCTTGCGCTTCTTGGGTGGCAGGTTTCAGCTACGCCATTTATCCATATCTTTCTTGGTCTTCTCTCTCTCGCCTTCCTCCCAGATGTTCGACTGTAAACAGTCTCATATGCAGTTTGGTCTCGCTGCATTCTCACTAGATAGCTAAATTATTGAATTCTTTGTTTCAGTGTAATGCAGACCTGGTCTGTGTGCAACTTTCTCTCTAATGCTAGTATTTGTAACCCTGTCTCATCTAATGTTGTTAATGACCTTGCGGAGACATCACATTGCATGTGTAGTAATTTTCTATCTAGTGCCCTATTCATTGTCTGCGTTTCTTCTTCTTCTGCCTTTCTATACCCCAATGGAGCATAGGCCCTCAACCAACTCACGCCAAGTCGTTCTATCCTTCGCCATTGCATGGAGCTCTTCCCATGTCCTCCTCATCTTTCTAACTTCATTCTCCAGCTCTCTTCTCCATGTTTTTTTGCCATCCTTTATTCCTATGCCCCTGTGGGTTCCAATGCAAAGACATTCTAGTTATGCTGTTTTTTCAGTGTGTGTCCTATCCAACACCAGTGTCTTTTCCTCAACTCTTGGTCCATTGGAGCCTGTTTAGTTCTCTTCCAAAGCTCTACATTAGTTATTTTATCATACCATTTATTTAATTCCTTCTATTCTGCGCAGGCACCAAAGAATGATTAAAGATTCTATTAATCATTTGCAGTTTTGCTTGATAGGAGACATTTGTCTGACATGTATTGAGTATTTCTTATGTGGTAGCAATCAGTTACAGTACTGCCAGCTTACTAGGCCCGTTACATGGCAGGGAAGGGAACTACAACTGAGCTGTATGATAGCTGGGGTCAATTCCACATCAGCCACAGTTGAACCCAAACTGCTGTGCTGTGGTAGTCGGTGCACTATCCATCATACTAACTCATAGCTTGTAGGATAAGACTTCTAGTTCTTTGAAATCAGTAGGATGCGGTCAGTACACCAAATAATAGTATTACTAGAAAGTCTCTTATTTGAAATCCATGGGGCAACAGAAATATAGGGTAAAGACAGCTGGACTCTATGGGATATTTGCAGACTTTATCTTCTCCAGTGTGGATGAAAGACATAAGGCTCTCTATCCCCCACCCTCCAATTTTTGTAAAAATTACTTGTTTTAACCGTGCCTTCTCCAGAACATTTAGAATCATATTTTTTTATGACATGGGTCTTCCATATTTTTTTGTCTGCCTCTCAGGACAGTATATGTTTCTTCTCTAGGTACCGCCATAGCTGTGCTTACAGTGATCATACTCATATCACAGTTTTGTATCCGTGAGTTCGTCATCCGCGGAAAGACCTGGACCTCCGACGACACCACAAAGAATATTGAAATCTTCGTCAAGTACTTCATTATCGGAGTCACTGTGCTTGTGGTGGCCGTGCCTGAGGGTTTGCCTCTAGCTGTAACCTTGGCCTTGGCCTACTCTGTCAAGGTCAGAATTTATTAGTTTATATGTGTGTCTGTGAGTTTGTTTCTTGTTTCATTAAGTAAACTTGTCTATGGTTTATTGATTGGTTGGTTGGTAAGTAAACTTGTCTGTAGTTGATTGAGTGGTTGATTAGTTATAAACTCATCTGTGGTTCATTGATTGGTTGGTTGGTAAGTAAACTTGTCTTGTTGGCCAGTTAGTAAGTTAATTTACATGGTTGCCTGGTTAGTTAAAAAGTGTAGTTGGTTGGTAAAAAAGTGTGATTGGTTAGGGGAAAAAATCTTTCCTGTTGCAGATGATTTGTTGATTTGAGAGGTAACTGTTCTGCTTCTAGTTGGTTAGTTTCTTGCTGATAATGGTTGATTCAAAGGTTTAAAAAAAAAAATAAGGTAACCCTTTTTGTTGAGAGTTGTAGATTTGTTAAAATATGCACATACATGTCCTATGAGATTAAAACATGCATTTAATTTAGTGAAGTTAATAGGTTTCCTTGAATATTGTTAATGAAACTTTGTTAAATAAAATAGTATATTAATATAGTGGGAAATTGCACTATCATCATCCTGTAGTATGTTGTATATCACATAGGGCTTGTAATTTCTTCTTCCATTCCGTTCTGTCCTGTATCAAGGATAGAACCCAACCTAATACTTGTAGTCTCTCTCATCAACTTTCATCAGAGGATTTCTTTTGGGTGTTCTCTCTCTTAATCCATTTGTTTCCTTTTTAAGGGCTTGTATGACGCTTCTTGATTCTCTGTTCATCTCTCTTCAGTATGTACCCAATATCTTGCCACTTTTTTTGTCTAATAACTGTTCATACCAGCGGTGTCCAGATATTTCTCTGATGTCTTCACCCCTTGTGAATTATCCTGTTTAACGTTCATCAGTTTCCTTCAGGTAGTATTTGCTTTCAAATAAATGAAACTTTAATTCCCTGTATTTTGGTGGTTCTCTGATTTCACTAGCCATGTCGAAAAACTGAAATAATGTTAGAACAAAAAATTTATTACTTGGTTTTAAAACTATAGAGTTCCTTATTTTGTTCTGGCTTTAAAAAGCTGCTGTTGCCTTATCAGTGTTCATTATAATTTCTTTAGTAGGAAATATAGTAGTTCTGTATTGTTTTTCTGTTGTTACATGCCAAATGTGGTTCAGTCATACTTAACTGATTCTTATGTGTCCATTAAATACAGAAAATGATGCATGACAATAACCTGGTACGACATTTGGATGCTTGTGAAACTATGGGCAATGCTACAGCAATCTGCTCAGACAAAACGGGAACCCTGACTACCAACAGGATGACTGTAGTTCAGAGTTACATTGGACGTAAGTATATGTTTGGTTGTAACATTTATGTATGTCCGCCAATTTATATTGAAACTGGGGGGAAAAGGGGCGACGATGCTTGTAGGATCACTTTCATCACACACCTATACCTTCATAAGATTTATGGCTTAGTGGTTATGAACATGGTTTGTAATTCTGCAATACCAGGTTAATTTCAGCTGCATCACCTCTCCGTGTTTGTTCCGGGACTCTATTGTGGGGAAAACAAGAATAAATCCACTGCCTTCCAAACAAGCTTGGCGTAAGAGTCGGCTAATTGGCTGCTTCCTTCGAAGTCGGAGTGCACCTGCCTGAGAGGCAAGGAACCAACAATCTGCAAACAAGTAATCAGATCTGTAAAACAGATGTGTATGCAGCACTCAGGTTCTGGAATAAGACTTATGTCCAGAGGTAGACTAACAACTAGAGCCTTCCGCCAGAGTTTACAGCTGGCAAATGTAAAGAAGAGGAAGAATTCAGCTGCAGATATTTTGGCGCAGACTGCTTTGCATTGATTTTGGCAGCAGTGTGGAGAGTTGATCATTTAGAAAGCAGTGGCAAACTATTAATGTAAAATTGACCAATAAAAGTACAAGCAGCCACTAATGCTGCAGTTGATTTGCAGTGCCCTTAAATTAAAACTTTTCAGATAGGTAATATATTCTGTGTGATTTGCCATTCAGGGGTATTATTCAGATGCATCATTGTGTTAATCCTTGGCCTCTTGTGCTTTCAGAACATCACCACAAACATATCCCAGAGTTTAGCAACATCAACGAAAAGCTAGGACAGCTGATTCTGGAGTCCGTCGCTATCAACAGTGGCTACACCTCTAAAATTGAGGTCAGAGTCTGAGTCTGTACTTAGTCTGGTCTCATAGGCACATTTCTCTGTGTATACTTGTTTTATTTATACCAGCTAGTATCTGTGTTATGAATGATGTGTTTTGCTGATGTTTATGGGTTAGATGTATGATTGCTTATGTTACTGGAGCAGGCTTTTGACAGATTTATGGATTGACTATACATTTATGATTATCTCACTTGCTGAGGTTTATGGGGTAAATGTTTAATTGTCGATCTTAGTGAAGGCTTTTTGGCCGAGATTGATTGGTTATATGTATGATTGTTTGCCTTAGTCAGTTACTTTGGATTGAGGAGGTAAATGAATGATTGTCATCTGCCTGTTCAATGGACATTAAAGAAATATTTTTTTTTTTAATTAGGGAAAATGAGTTTGGGGTTTTACTGAAGTAATTTATTAATAGAAAACCTAAAATAGTAGTTTTACTGAATTTATGAACAGAGAAATTAGAAATTGATGGTTTTAATAGTTATTTGAGTAATTACTGAGCTGCAATTTCATTTTTCAGATGCCAGAACAGGAAGGAGGACTTCCCAAACAACTTGGAAACAAGACTGAATGTGCTCTTCTGGGTTTTGTTGTGGCTATGAAACAGTCATATGATAGAGTAAGCAGTAGACACTATACTACTTCAACCTACGCCTTATTTAAATCTTTTATAACATCGTGTTAAACCTTTTGGGCTGTATATGTGTTTGTATATCCCTGGTTAGAGAGCATTAGGGTCACACCTTTACCGTGCGGGGCATTTAGAAGAGTGTTGCCATCTCTATTCCATCTTGTTTCACAAATTTCCAAAATGGTGATCCTTATATTTGTTTCTCTTCTATCAGCTCTTTCTATATCCTCTTCATGTCACTGTTGACACATAGTCATTCACAAATGATCTCTGTTGCTGCCGGTCTGCTGCTTTTTTGCCCATGGTATCCCATGTCAGTTTACATTCCTTCATTTCCCATTCTATTGTCCTTCGCCAGGTTCCTTAGGTCGTTCCTGTCTCCTATTTCATCTGCTGTCCACCGGAGAGCTGTTTTTTGCCTATGTGTCACAAGGCATTCTACAAACATGTCCAAGCCATCTCCGCCATCTTACTTTGATAACATTTGCCAGTGATGCACATTTTGTTTTCCTCCTCAGTTCTTCATCTGTGATCTTGTTTGGCCAAAATATTTGTAGAATTCTCTTTAAACATTTTTTTTAAAAGTCTCAAGTTTATTTGTTATTCCCGCTGTCATTTTCCAACATTCACTGTTGTATTCCTAAAATGTTGCACTTGTATATTCTGAGTTTTGTCTTCAAACTAAATTCCGTATAATGTTAAGCATGGCAAATTTGCTTTATTGAATCTTGATGTTACATCCTTTTCAGAATCTCCATCTGGAGTAACTTTACATCCGAGGTATATAAATTCAACTTCCCCTATTGCTTCATCATTTAAGATAATTGGATTCTCTGTTTTGTAATTATTTCTCATTACTTAAGTTTTACTGGTGTTTATTTTGGGTCCCATCTTAAGGACTGTTGTTGAAAGTCTTTCAATCTTTTCCTGAGCGTCCCTATGACGGCTTGTTATAAGGCTAATATATCATCTGCATAATCCAAATCCTCTAAAACAGAAGTGAGTGACCACCTGATGCCTCTTTTTTTTTTATTTCGTGTAGGTTCCTTCATCAGCCAGTCACTGGCCAAATTGAACAAAAAGGGGAATATATCAGCTCTGCTGGTCTGTTACACACTTCATATGTTGTTCTACTATAATTAATTTCTCCAGGTTTTCTGATGTGGTATTTCATCCATCCAGACTCAGATTTGTTAACCTCGTTGTGTCAACATTCCTCTAGGAGAAAAGAATCTCTTCATCTTTGTTGAGTTACTTTCTTTTTCTTTTATTTAAAATTGCTCATATTTTCCCCCAGGCCAGCCGTCCTTCTGCTCTGGTGATCATGCATGGTATCATTTGTTTCTCTTCAGGGATATCATTTGTTCCTCTTCAGGGATGGTATCATTTGTTTCTCTTCAGGGATATCATTTGTTCCTCTTCAGGGATGGTATCATTTGTTTCTCTTCAGGGATTGGTTAACGCCAGGCAGAGTAATGTCTTAGTTGGTGCATATTCCATCAGTTGTCTGCATCCCAGGCAGAGTAATGTCTTAGTTGGTGCATATTCCATCAGTTGTCTGCATCCCAGGCAGAGTAATGTCTTAGTTGGTGCATATTTCATCAGTTATCAGCATCCCAGTCGGTTTGCGTCAATAGAGCACCTATTTTCATGGTTGTAGTGCATTTGATGCTGTCATATTTTTATAGACCTTTTATCACTCAGTAGGGGTTTTAGTTAACTTTTGCCAGCTACCTTTTCTACCCAGAACATTTTCTTGTACCTATTTTGCTGGCAATCCCCCAAAATTATAAAAAGTCTTTAACAAAATCTGTGCTACTTGAGGTGGGGTCTTCATATTTCTGTGGCCATTAGTTGACCTAGTATTTTAACAAAGTACCTTTCTTGTGTTACAGTTAAGTGAATAATAAGTAGCCAGGCCAGACCATATCTTCCTAGTAAAATAATGCAAGACGTTTTTTTTTTAAAAAAGCTGCTAGTTTTAGCAGATTTATTCTAACCATGGTTGGATTTTCATCAGATCCGAGAGAGGTACCCCGAGGAGAAACTGGTGAAAGTCTACACCTTTAACTCTGACCGCAAGTCCATGGGAACGGTCATCAAAGTGGACAATAGGGAGAATTGCTACAGGTTTTTCTGCAAAGGAGCATCAGAGGTTGTTGTCAAGAAGTAAGTTGATTTCTTCCTAGTACAGTGGTTCTTTTTTGTTAAATGTATCTGGGTATCTGACAGCCGCAGACAATGGTTTTACATTGTGAAATTGCCTCAAGCTTCTCAACCTGTTCTCCTCCATGGGATTCTGCAGCTGGGAATGTTTTTACATTCAAAACAGTGTAATCCCATTGTGAATTTAAATAATGCAAGTACAGTTTGTACATTGAACAATTTATTTGTCCTGTGACACTGCAGCATGTCATTGGGTCACCAGTTGCTGTTAACTGTCTGATCAGCTCCCCCACCTTTGATGACCAAATGCAGTGGACTTCATAACAACTGTGAGCAGTTATAGCTTGGTTTTACATGAAATGTTTTTGGGTCTCCATAATATTGGCTCTTTGGCAATGACTGATGTTGTCTGGGCAATTCTTGACCTGATTGATAGTCTACACCTTGGGTTACTTCAAATGGATCCTACAAATTTTAAGTGACTGTTTGTTTGTTTATTTGACGGATCAACATAGCACATGGGCGTAACCCATAAGTGCTCCGCTCTACTTCTAACTCAAGCCTGAGTCTGAAGAAAACTCCACACAGTGCACAAACTCTGTTGCACCTGCGAGGATTCATAAATGCTTTAGGTAGATTTTTAACTCCAGATTTTACCCGGGCAGCGCCGCCACGCTACTCTTTTCGATTTCCAACTTCCAAGGGATTTTGTACGTGTGCAAGAATACACACGGATATTCGATCTTACTCCCCAGAGACCAGGGGGAATTACTAGAAATCCACACACAAACAATCCCAGCCTTCACCGGGGCTTGAATCTGGCACCTACAGCACTCTGTGTGGACATCATACCTCAAGACCACTCATCCCCACTATTTAAAGTGACTGACTTGTTCTAATTTGTGACCTTTAACAAATTTTAGTGTAGTTGTGCCATTTGGATTATTAGTCATTATGTTTTGTATTTTCCATATTTTTTCTATGCCATATTTGGTTGATGTTTCATCAAGTAGGTCTGCGAGTTCAGCTAGCTTTTGTTTCACCCCGGCCAGACCGTCAATATCACCTTCAAACTTTAAGTTTATGATTTTAGCTCCTATACTAAATGTTTCTTAATGTTTTCCTAGGGCGTCATTCATAATTCTTTCTAAGAAGATGTTAAACAGTATTGGGGAGAGGAGGGCAGCCCTGTCCGACTTCTATTGTCTGTCTAAGCCAGCTTCATCTTTGTCCATTTAGCATGACAGCACTACTGGCTTTGGCATAAAGCTCACAGCTTATTGCTTGGAATATTTCACCTATCCCAACAGGTGCAAAACTACAGTTACATCTGTAAGGAAGTACAAAAAGGATGGTTGAATGTGGTTTTTCCAGATTGACTTGTTAGATTCTCACCTGAATATTGGCTCTTTAAGACACTGAGTTTTAGTCTGTCAGAAAGCAATCCTAGAGGGGTAAATGTTTTTTTAAGGTGAATCTTTTGCACTGAAATACACACATCACAATGTTTCTAGTTATAGTCACTGAACATCTCACCAACTTGGCTGTGTGATTGATTACCTTTGAATTTAGAAAATTAGCACTTGCTCCTTTTTTGTTCAGTGCGAGATTTGTACTTTCAATGGTCACAGCTTCTGTCATAATTGCATGTTTTAACTTTAAGACTAGAATTAGATAAAAAAACAAACACCTACAACATTTGTTGCAAGTTAATGCATTTTTCATGTAAGTCATTCTGGAGTAAGTTCACATACTCCTTAACAGCCATACTCAGAGATTCCACCTTTACATTTGACATATGCCTGTTTTATTTACCTCCAGATGCAGCTTCATTCTGGATGAAAGTGGAACAGCAAGGCCTTTCACCAGCAGGGAGCAGGAGAGAGTGGTCAGTGAAATCATTGAACCAATGGCCTGTGATGGACTCAGGACTATTTGTCTGGCATACAAAGACTTTGTGGCTGGTCAGTTTCAACACTGTCTTACTACAAATATTATCCTATAGATATGTGAGGGTTGTAGCTGAAATGTTATATATAGCACATGCCATGCTGAGACATCTGAGATGTAAGATAGCCCATAATAGTCTGTATGGTGCACTGTTATATAGGTTATGGCACATCAAATGCCAAGACAGCCGGTCTATGTGGTGCACTGTCACAAGTCAGGGCTGTTTAATCTGTTGCGCAGATCACTTTTATTAATGATCTTTTTATGCTTGTCTCCGGCGATCGACAGTCTCCTCATGTTGGCCCTTAAGTTAACTGAATTGAATGGCTCTGATATAGGTTATGGCAGATGAAATGTTACGACAGGTTGGGATGGGGACACAATGGCAGCATCAGCTGTATTGTCCAGCAGCCAGCTTACAGTCTGGACCTGACCTTGCCTGCAGGTTATCTGAGTCAAAGTTGTAATTGTCGCCACCTATCTTTGGTATAGAGCAGGCAATATAGTGGTTAGAGACTCACTTGACGATTCAGTTTCTAGGATGGAAATCGTCATTTCTTTGTTCTGCTTTCTATCCTCCATGGAGCATAGGCACTCAACCAACTCAACCCCGAGTTGTTCTCTCCTTCGCTATTGCATGCAGCTCACCTCGTGACCTCCCCATCTTTTAACTCTAGTTCCCTTCTCCATGTGCTTTTTTTAAAAATCTGTTTCCATTTCCCTGTGGTTCCATTGCAAAAATATTCTAGTTATATTGTTTAAATTCCTCATTTAGGCAGATTTTATTTAGTCAGAATTGACCACTGACTCTAAGGCTGAAAGTTTAACATTCCTACCAGGATATGACCTGGGAAGTAAAGGTAGCCGGCAGGAGGCTGACCACATCATCCATTGATTGGTGATTTGAACAGTATTAATATAGGTCTAGCATCAGGGAGTCATGAACAAGTTCCTTGACTGTTACATTACATTGACAACTGTTACATTACATTGACAATCAGGCATGTCAGACTGGTGGCAGACGGGCTGCATGTGGCCCTTAGCCGGCACACCTGCAGCCCACATAAAGGAAACATTCTGTAATAATTGTTGTTAAATGACTCCAATAAGTTGGTGTGTGGCCCTCATGATGACACCAGGACCCATATGGGCCTCCTGATAACACAAACATGACCCATATGGCCTCCATGATGACACAAACATGACCCATATGGCTGCCGTGATGGCACAAACAACCCATATGGGCTTCGTGATGACACAAACAAGACCCATATGTCCCTCATGATGACCCAAATGTCTCTAATGATGACATGGAAATTACCCATATGTCCCTCATGATGACAGACATAACCCAAATGACCCTTATGATGACACATATATGACCCATATGTCCCTCATGATGACACTAACATGACCCATATGTCCCTCCTGATGACACAAACATGACCCATATGTCCCTCCTGATGACACAGAAATGACCCATATGGCCCTCATGATGACACAGAAATTACCCATATGGCCCTCCTGATGACACATACATGACTCATATAACCCTCCTGATGACACAGAAATCACCCATATGGCCCTCCTGATGACACAAACATGACCCATATGTCCCTCCTGATGACACAAACATGACTTATATGTCCCTCCTGATGACACAGAAATGACCCATATGTCCCTCCTGATGACACAGAAATGACCCATATGTCCCTCCTGATGACACAAACATGACATATGTCCCTCCTGATGACAGAAACATGACCATATGGCCCTCATGATGACACAAACATGACCTATATGTCCCTCCTGATGACACAGAAATGACCCATATGTCCCTCATGACACAAAAATGACCATATGGCCCTCCTGATGACACAAACATGACCCATATGGCCATCCTGATGACACAAACATGACATATGTCCCTCCTGATGACACAAACATGACCATATGACCCTCATGATGACACAAATATGACCCATATGTCCCTCCTGATGACAAAAACATGACCCATATGACCCTCCTGATGACACAAACATGACCATATGGCCCTCATGATGACACAAACATGACTCATATGGCCCTCCTGATGACAGAAACATGACCCATATGGCCCTCATGATGACACAAACATTACCCATATGTCCCTCATGATGACACAAACATGACCCTTATTTCCCTCATGATAACACAAACATGACCCATTTGTCCCTCCTGATGACACAAACATGACACATTTGGCCCTCAGGAGACCTTTAGTTTGACATGCCTGATCTAGGTACATGCTGCACAGAGGTCACTGATAGGAAACTGAAGATGTTTGTTCTGTTTTCACTGATCAAGGTGCCAAGGCAGAAAATGAAGGCTCTCTTGAAGGCATTGATTGGGATGATGAGCCTAAAATCATGACAGGACTTACCTGTGTCTGTATCGTGGGAATAGAAGATCCGGTCAGAGATGAGGTGGGTACCACATGTAATCTCCACATGTGTTTTGTGTGGCAGTTAAGTGATAGAGACATGTAAATTTGTGTAACCAATCAAATGGTATCGTGGGGGGGGGGGGGGGGGGTGTTACTTTTTATTTACCCTAAAATGTATGGTGTGGCCGGTCACTTTGGCTCTCAAAGCCCCCTCCCCCTAAAATGTATGGTGTGGCCAGTCACTTTGGCTCTTAAATCCCCCTCCTAAAATGTATGGTGTGGCCGGTCACTTTGGCTCTTAAAGCCCCCTCCCCCTAAAATGTATGGTGTGGCCGGTCACTTTGGCTCTTAAAGCCCCCTCCCCCTAAAATGTATGGTGTGGCCGGTCACTTTGGCTCTTAAAGCCCCCTCCCCCTAAAATGTATGGTGTGGCCGGTCACTTTGGCTCTTAAAGCCCCCTCCCCCTAAAGTTGTGAACTGTTCAGGTAAAGGATATTTGTTGCATATGTACCGCTAGCCTCGTATTGTGACGCTAGCCTCCTATTGTGACGCTAGCCTCATATTGTGACGCTAGCCTCATATTGTGACGCTAGCCTCATATTGTACCGCTAGCCTCATATTGTACCGCTAGCCTCGTATTGTACCGCTAGCCTCGTATTGTACCGCTAGCCTCGTATTGTGACGCTAGCCTCATATTGTGACGCTAGCCTCATATTGTGACGCTAGCCTCATATTGTACCGCTAGCCTCATATTGTACCGCTAGCCTCATATTGTACCGCTAGCCTCATATTGTACCGCTAGCCTCATTTTGTACCGCTAGCCTCATATTGTACCGCTAGCCTCATATTGTACCGCTAGCCTCATATTGTACCGCTAGCCTCATATTGTACCGCTAGCCTCATATTGTACCGCTAGCCTCATATTCTACCGCTAGCCTCATATTCTACCGCTAGCCTCATATTCTACCGCTAGCCTCATATTGTGACGCTAGCCTCATATTGTGACGCTAGCTTTGGATGGCTAATGTGGAATTTGATGTTAGTCCCCTTTATTCACCAGGACATTTCCTGGTATCCATTGTAGGCTTGATTTTAAAACCACCTCGTCTCTGGGCTTTTGAACGCAGGAGTAGTAGCAGGTATGTGTGCTAACTACTGCACTACAGCAGCTCCCAGTTGAAGACTAAACAAAAGTCTAATGGAAGTTATCTTGCATGAATGTTTGGAAATATCAGCCCCAAATAATGGTCTCCTGAACAGTGATCTTGTCCAGCAATTTCAGAATTTAATGAAATCAAGACACAGTGCTGGGTTATTTCAGTGGATGTGTTTCTGATGTGATTCGTAATTGACGCATACATTAGACAAATGCACGCTCACTACACACAGACACACACACACACACCAACACCAACACACAGAGACACACGCAGAAAATTATACACAGGCATATACGGGCACACGCACATACACACACACATGCAGACTAACACAGAGAAACACAGACACACACACACACTAACGAATTCATAAAAACAGATACACGTGGACACATTCAGACATATACACAAAGACAATTGCAGACACACACACAGATGCATACATTCGCAGACACATGCACACACCCACAAACACACACACACACACATATATACACACACAAACACATGCACACACACACACAAAGCCTCACACCAAACACACAGAGAAACACACACACAGAGAACATGCAGCCACACACAAAACCTATACAATTACTCATACATACTCAAAATCATACCTATACAAACACACCTACACATACATACATTTTACACATATACGTGTCACACTCACTCACACACATGTGAATAGAAAAGAATAGACCCACTGCCTTCCCAAAAGTATGTCCGAAGAGTTGACTGAGTCGTGGGCTTCCTTCAAAGTGGGAGTACCTCTGCCAGAGAGGCAAGGAACCAACAGTCTGCATACAAATGATGCAGGTTTTGGAAAAGGGCTATATTCTAAAAGTGAACAAAGTAACCATAACTTTCCACTGGAGTTTACAGCCGGTAAATGTGAAGAAGAACTATTTAATTATGCATGTCCTTTATCCTTTCCTTGTTGATCGTCAGTATTGGAGCACAGGTGTTCATGGTTAGTGTATTCTGTTCTTGTAGGTGCCAGACGCTATCAAAAAGTGCCAGAGAGCTGGAATCACCGTACGTATGGTGACAGGAGACAATGTAAACACCGCTCGCAGTATTGCTTCCAAGTGTGGCATCCTGAGACCAGGGGAGGATGGTCTGGTCCTGGAGGGCAAGGAGTTCAACAGAAGGGTTCGAGACCAAGCAGGAGAGGTGAGTGAAATCATGGTACAGTGTGTAGTAGAGGATATGGTACAGGAAATGCTAGGTGCTCTCCATGATGAAGTGGTCTTGTAGGTTTTAAGTTTACATTCTTGTATGTTTTTAGCTGGTTGTTTTTACTGTCTTTATTATTTTTTTTTTTTTTTCCTTCTTTAGAATTCATTCAAAATTCTGTTTATTTTTCTTATATGTTAAAAAAAAAAACACCTATATATCTCTAATTTATTGTCTTGTATGTCTTTAGTCTCATTTCTGATAATTGGATAGGCGAGATTTCCCCATACATGTATGAATGAAGGGTAGATAACTCAGCACTGTTTCAGTAGTCGTCGTAAAGCTGACTTACTGGATGTTATCTCTGCAGGTCAGCCAAGAGCTGATGGACAAGATCTGGCCCATCCTGAGAGTACTGGCCAGATCTTCACCTCAGGACAAGTACATTTTGGTGAAAGGCATCATTGACAGTAAGCTGGGCAAGACTAGGCAGGTGGTGGCTGTCACTGGTGATGGTACCAATGATGGTCCAGCTCTCAAGAAAGCTGATGTTGGATTTGCAATGGTAAGTACCAGCTTTTTTCCCCCCCACATTTTAGACAGTGGTGCAGGAGTCTCACCATTAAAGTTGTCATGGTCTCGCGGCTTAATATGCTCAGAGACAGCAGTGTGTGCATTGTAGCCAGCATTCATTGGGAAGATGACACAGAATGGTTTTCACATGTAACATGTTTTAATAATGAGATTAATTTATAAATTTGAAACGTTTTGACAGTGGTATGATAGATTTGTGTGACTCACAGGTTTGCACTACACACTCATCAACTTAACTGTGAATAGTTTAGAAACAGGCTGTTCTCATGGCTTATGGACAGTAGTCTGAAAATGGCACCGTGTGAGAAATTGGGACTTGGCTGCATAATATCCCCATCGACAGCTGTGGATGCAGCATATACCCACTACAACCAAGCTTGATTGTGAAAATGGCACACAGCACAAGTAGATTGAATATCTTCTGGGACCTGGAAGAACGACTCTGAGAACCTACCTGCATGCTGGGCAGGTTAGACAACTCTTGAGAACCTACCTGCATGCTGAGCAGGTTAGACAACTCTGAGAACCTACCTGCATGCTGGGCAGGTCGGACCACTCTGAGAACCTACCTGCATGCTGGGCAGGTTAGACAACTCTGAGAAGCTACCTGCATGCTGGCCAGGTTAGACAACTCTGAGAAGCTACCTGCATGCTGGCCAGGTTAGACAACTCTGAGAACCTACCTGCATGCTGAGCAGGTTAGACAACTCTGAGAACCTACCTGCATGCTGGGCTGGTTAGACAACTCTGAGAACCTGCCTGCATGCTGGGCAGGTTAGACAACTCTGAGAACCTACCTGCATGCTGGGCAGGTAAGATATTTCCCTCGGGTGGGAACTTGGATAAGAGTCAGCTGTATCTAGTCCCTTGTCGAGGTTGAATATCAAGGACAGAAAGGCCACCCACACAAATATTTATAATGTGTGTACTTCTGTTATACACACATTTGGTTCCCCTTCTACAAATTTGACAGGGTCTGTGTACTGTGCTGAGATTTCCCTTGTGTGGTCTACGAGAGGAAACAGCTCTTTGGGTTTGTCTGTATGCATTCTCAAAATATCAGAAAACGAGTACTGAAATGTTACATTGAGCCTCTTCTGTTGAATGGCAGTGAATCTTGGAATGTGAGCTAACAAATTAAGAAGGGTTTGGGGACAACTGAGATTTGGTTCTTGTGAAGAATGTAGCGAATACCTTGGGTTGACAGAATAACTAACAGTGATTGCCTGGAAATGACTAATAAAATTAAAACATTATATACAACAATAAGAAAGAAAGTTCTTAGGTGATGTGATGAAAAAATGTTCACTGGAAACTATTGTGATGACTAGAAAGATCATTGGTAGAAGAGGCAGAGGCAGACCAAGAGAAATGATGGTGGATGGTCCAAGACAGAGGCATGGAGGAATATCATCAGTAAAATTGATCCAGAACACTAAAGACTGATCTATGGAGATGCCTGAATGCCTACGTCAGCTGGCAAGGCACTTGATAATTATTAAAACTCATTTTTATCATCAAAACTCATCTGTGCATGTGAATCAGGGTTGTGGCCACTGGAGGAGGAAGACAAAGGGTGTATCTCTGCACAAGGAAGATAATCTTAAACTAAAAACAAGAATTATTGAGACCCACTTAATGTGGTGGGGGGGTTGGTTATAAGTCAGAGCAACATCCGGCTATTTAGCACATCCAGATTCAAGTGCTGTTTGCTCTGTAAAAGAAATGGGGCTGGAATCAAATACCCAGAAGCAGCTTTAACGTAATGTCCAGACACTCAGCTGAAGGTCTTGAGTTTGAATTCATCACCCATCTAGTACTTATTGATCTATACAAAATATGAGTTGAGTGTCATATGCCCGTTGTGCTAAGATTGACTTTTGACATAATGTCTAGATTAAGGTTGATTATACAGACTTGCCTCAATCATTTTTCACAGGGAATCTCTGGAACTGATGTTGCCAAAGAGGCCTCGGACATCATCCTGACAGACGACAACTTCACCAGCATTGTCAAGGCAGTGATGTGGGGCAGGAATGTCTACGACAGCATTGCCAAGTTCTTACAGTTTCAGCTGACTGTCAACGTGGTGGCTGTTCTGGTTGCTTTCTTGGGTGCTTGCATCATCAACGTAAGTCTCCCAGTCTCCATAGCTCATCATGTGTTTGATTGTGTGGTGGTTACCATGGCTGGTCCGCCACCAGACAGGAGAGTCGTTGTCAGTGCCATCTGAGATGCATATCGTGAAGACAATTATGACATCAGCAATTACCCCGCATCCCTGTCCAGGTTGGTCTGTATGGAGTTACCAAGGAAATAGGTCCTATATTTATTTTACTTGACTAGTTCTAGCATTGTTTCAACACACCTCTGATAGACAGAAATGTGTCTGTTTCTCTCATATCAGCATAGTCTGTCTTACTGCATAGGCACATGTTAATGCATGCTTATCATTTATTAATAAGTGGCTTTGTCATATTGACCTGAAATGTATCTATTGGTTTCTATTGTCTGAAATACAGGACAGTCCTCTTAAGGCTATCCAAATGTTGTGGGTCAACCTGATCATGGACACCTTGGCTTCCTTGGCCCTGGCCACAGAACTGCCCACTGATGAACTGCTGCGCCGCAAGCCCTATGGCCGCACCAAGCCCCTCATATCTCGGACAATGGCCAAGAACATCCTCTGCCACGCTATTTACCAGCTGACAGTGATTGCTGTCTTATTATTTTGTGGTGGGTGCCTGTTTTGGGCCTTTAGTAATGTCCTTCTATATTGTATTTTAGTAGTGTCCTGTATTGTCCTGCAGTAATGTCCTTCTGAATTGTCCTGCAGTAACGTCCTTGTCTGTCATCGCTTAGTAATGTCTTTAATTGTTGACCACCGGTAATGTTGTTTGTTATCACTTGGTATATGTTTTTTATGTCAGCAATGTCTGTCATTGTCACAGGGAATTTCCACAACTGATATTGCTTCATCAGTGTACTAAGCAATGCCCTTCTATAATGTCCTTCTCCGTTGTCCCCAGTAATGTCCTTAATTGTTTCTCTCAGTAATGTAAATGATTGTCGTCCCTAATACTGTTATTAATTATTGTCACTGAGTAATATCCTTGATTGTTGTCCCCTAGTAATGTCCTTGATTGTTGACCCACTAATAATATCCTTAATTGTTGTCCTCAGTAATGTCCTTTGTTATCCCCACTAATGGAGCCATCGTGGTGTAACGCTAGATACTTGTCTGCTGATCCAAAGGTTGGCGGTTCAAGGCCCAGCAAAACTGGACTTTTTAAGACACACACACACCCCCCCCCCCAAATTGCCTTGGGTCTGAGGTCCACCAGGCCTTAAGTGTGTACCAGGGTGAAGTCCTGGGAAGTAAAGGCAGCCAGCATAATGTTGACCACATCACCCACAGAGTCCCAATGGTCTATTTAATATAGCGCTACCCCCACACACACACACACACACACACACACACCCCCCAAGGGTATTTTACTAACACCCCACAAATGTTCTGTATTGTTGACCCTCAGTAATGTTTTTTATTTTCTCTGGTAACTATTACACTGAGATGCTTCTAGCAATAAAAGCATTACTCTGAGATGCTTCTAGCAATAAAAGCATTACACTGAGATGCTTCTAGCAATAAAAGCATTACACTGAGATGCTTCTAGCAATAAAAGCATTACTCTGAGATGCTTCTAGCAATAAAAGCATTACACTGAGATGCTTCTAGCAATAAAAGCATTACTCTGAGATGCTTCTAGCAATAAAAGCATTACTCTGAGATGCTTCTAGCAATAAAAGCATTACACTGAGATGCTTCTAGCAATAAAAGCATTACTCTGAGATGCTTCTAGCAATAAAAGCATTACTCTGAGATGCTTCTAGCAATAAAAGCATTACTCTGAGATGCTTCTAGCAATAAAAGCATTACTCTGAGATGCTTCTAGCAATAAAAGCATTACTCTGAGATGCTTCTAGCGATAAAAGCATTACTCTGAGATGTTTCTAGCGATAAAACCATTACTCTTGAGATGTTTCTAGCGATAAAACCATTACTCTGAGATGTTTCTAGCGATAAAACCATTACTCTGAGATGCTTCTAGCGATAAAACCATTACTCTGAGATGCTTCTAGCGATAAAACCATTACTCTGAGATGTATTAGACAGTAAAGCCACAACTATCAGATGTATCAGACAGTAAAACGACATTACTCAGAGATGCATCAGACAGTAAAGCCATTGCTCTGAGATATTTCACACAATAAATTCATTACTCTCAGATGTTTCAGTCAGTAAAAGTAAAGCTATTACTCTTATATTTCAGACAGTAAAAGTAAAGCTATATTACTCTCGGATGTTTCAGTCAGTAAAAGTAAAGCCATAACTCTCAGATGTTTCAGACAGTATAACTGTAATTTTGAGATGCATTGGATAGTAACACAAATTCTTACTGCTATCAACAGGTCCAGATCTGTTAAATATTGATGACGGTAGAGCGGATATTGAAGATGTCCATGCACCTCCCTCTGCACACTTTACTATGATCTTCAACACCTTCGTCTTCATGACTTTATTTAACGAGATCAACGCCCGCAAAATCCACAACCAGCACAACATTGCTGAGGGCATCTTCCAGAATCCCATTTTTATCGGAATCTGGATTGGAACCATCATTGCACAGGTGAGTGTCTGTTAGTCAGTCAACCTCATTTGCACAGGTGAGTGTCTGCTAGTCAGTCAACATCATTGCACAGGTGAGTGTCTGCTAGTCAGCCAACCTCATTGCACAGGTGTGTCTGCTAGTCAGTCAACCTCATTGCACAGGTGAGTGTTTGCTAGTCAGTCAACCTCATTGCACAGGTGAGTGTTTGCTAGTCAGTCAACCTCATTGCACAGGTGGGTGTTTGCTAGTCAGTCAACCTCATTGCACAGGTGGGTGTCTGCTAGTCAGTCAACCTCATTGCACAGGTGAGTGTCTGCTAGTCAGCCAACCTCATTTGCACAGGTGAGTGTCTGCTAGTCAGTCAACATCATTTGCACAGGTGAGTGTCTGCTAGTCAGTCAACATCATTGCACAGGTGAGTGTCTGCTAGTCAGTCAACCTCATTTGCACAGGTGAGTGTCTGCTAGTCAGTAAACCTCATTGCACAGGTGAGTGTCTGCTAGTCAGCCAACCTCATTGCACAGGTGAGTGTCTGCTAGTCAGTCAACCTCATTTGCACAGGTGAGTGTCTGCTAATCAGTCAACCATCATTGCACAGGTGAGTGTCTGCTAGTCAGTCAACCTCATTTGCACAGGTGAGTGTCTGCTAGTCAGTAAACCTCATTGCACAGGTGAGTGTCTGCTAGTCAGCCAACCTCATTGCACAGGTGAGTGTCTGCTAGTCAGTCAACCTCATTTGCACAGGTGAGTGTCTGCTAAGTCAACATCATTGCACAGGTGAGTGTCTGCTAGTCAGTCAACCTCATTTGCACAGGTGAGTGTCTGCTAGTCAGTCAACCTCATTTGCGCAGGTGAGTGTCTGCTAGTCAGCCAACCTCATTGCACAGGTGAGTGTCTGCTAGTCAGTCAACCATCATTGCACAGGTGAGTGTCTGCTAATCAGTCAACCTCAAGAATTTTTAGTTTAAGGTTAGGTGTTAGGTGTCTCTGCCATGTAAGTTGACCTTGGTTTTGGAAAGATTTTTGTAGGCGTGACAACAACTCAACTTATATGCCACAATTTACAGTATAACAACACTTTACCACATCTCTACACCCCATGACAGAAAAAGGGACATTACCACAGCATACCCCTACACCCAGGAGTAAAATAAGACAAATATTACCACAGTGCATCTCTACACACCAGCGTAGAAAAATCAGACATAACCACAGTATTCTTCTGCACCCCAATATACTTCTTTTTTTGCCTGTTGCACTTTTACAGCAGGTCGCCTTCATTGCACTGGTCTATCCCATATAGACAAATGTCTCTCCACTTATAGCTGCCCGCCCCAAGCACAAAGTATGAACTATGTAGCTCCCACAACAATCCCCATGGATTTCCATAAAAACTGCTCTTGTAAACTGAATGATGCATCTATGAAATGAACCCATGACCTCTGGAACATGAGGCAAGCCACTGTACCACTTCACCACAGATATTCTTACTTTAATAGCTCTACATTGCTGCCTAAACATATTTATGAACACCCCCTCTTCCCAACTATAGTGTATTGATATTGTGGTACTCAGTGATTCACATAGACCATGACATTGTTTGCCTTGAACATTTCTTCTCCTAGGTTATCATTATTCAGTTTGGAGGAGTAGCTTTCCATACATCAGGCCTGACAGCCGCCCAGTGGCTGTGGTGTGTGTTCCTGGGCTTTGGCACATTGTTATGGGGACAGGTGAGTTCTCCTATGTTCTACTTTGGGTAGTAGATATAATATTACTGCTATCTTTCAGGTTGCCAGTTCTATAGTCAGTTAAGTTTGAAACATAATACTAGGAAATTGGGAATGTATGTGGGAATACATGCATTATCTGTTAGTAACTCTACATCACATACTAGTAGTGAATTGGAAATGCATACATTGTCTGTTAGTAACTTTCATCACCTACGAGTAGGGTAGTGGGAATACATACATTGTCTGTTAGTAACTTTCATCACCTACGAGTAGGGTAGTGGGAATACATACATTGTCTGTTATAACTTTCATTATTTCATAACCTACTATTAGGGTAGTGGGGATAAATACATTGTTAGTAACTTTCATCATTTCATAACCTACTATTAGGGTAGTGGGGATACATACATTGTCTGTTAGTAACGTTCATCACCTTCTAGCAGGGAAGTGGGAATACATACATTGCTTGTTAGTAACTTTCATTTCATCATCTACTAGTAGGGAAGTGGGAGTATCTGCATTGTCTTTTAGTTAAGGTTACTACCACATGATTGTATGATGGTGTGGAGATAGTTAAGGTTACCACATGATTGTATGATAGTGTGGACATAGTTAACATTACCACATGATTGTATGATAGTGTGGACATAGTTAAGGTCATCACATGATTGTATGATAGTGTGGACATAGTTAAGGTTATCACATGATTGTATGATAGTGTGGACATAGTTAAGGTTAACACATGATTGTATGATAGTGTGGACATAGTTAAGGTTACCACATGATTGTATGATAGTGTGGACATAGTTAAGGTTAACACATGATTGTATGATAGTGTGGACATAGTTAACGTTACCACATGATTGTATGATAGTGTGGAGATAGTTAAGGTCATCACATGATTGTATGATAGTGTGGACATAGTTAAGGTTACCACATGATTGTATGATAGTGTGGACATAGTTAAGGTTACCACATGATTGTATGATAGTGTGGACATAGTTAACATTACCACATGATTGTATGATAGTGTGGACATAGTTAAGGTTACCACATGATTGTATGATAGTGTGGACATAGTTAAGGTTACCACATGATTGTATGATAGTGTGGACATAGTTAACGTTACCACATGATTGTATGATAGTGTGGACATAGTTAACGTTACCACATGATTGTATGATAGTGTGGACATAGTTAAGGTTACCACATGATTGTATGATAGTGTGGACATAGTTAACGTTACCACATGATTGTATGATAGTGTGGACATAGTTAACGTTACCACATGATTGTATGATAGTGTGGAGTTAGATTGTTGGCACTAAGCTAAAGTCACCTAAGTGTATTTCAGGGCTGATAGTCACTTTACAGAAATGTTAAAACGTAAACGTGTAAATTCCTACTCCAAACAAGTCTATTCTTTTTAGCCCTGAAAATGCGGCACCAGAACCCACCAAGGAAGGTTTACGTAAAACGTAAAATATTCCTGAGTTTTTGTGAACAGTCTTAATGTGACAGTGTGACCTCTAATTTTAAGGACACGTGGATGCGAATATCTGTCTCTGAATATCACAGGTGGCGACAGTAATTCCGGATAGTGCTGTGCCATCACTGAGCTGGTGCAAGAGAGGAGCTAAGGAGGAGGAGATCGACGAGCATGAACTGGCAGAGATGGAGGAGGATCCAGTCAGTGGCAGAGGTCAGATCCTGTGGGTGCGTGGCCTCACACGCTTGCAGCAGCAGGTAGGTTTCGCTGTTGTGGCTTCTCCTGCTTTGACTGTAATCAATTATTGTAGATCTTTGTGACCATCACATGCTCATTGTCACCAATCACCATCTGCTGGGGGATTCCCACAGCTGGACACATCATCTGGATCGCTCTCCCTGTAGAGGCGCTGAGGGTGCGTGTTCATACTGTGTGTTGTGGCGTGTTCACTTGAGTGTTTCACATCACTTAGCTTTGTCTGGTGTAGGTGTGAAGAGTGCAGTCACTGTCTGTGGTTGGTTATCTGCGTGTCTTAGATAGGTCCAGCCTAGGGCAGCTGATAGCTTAGCCAGTGTCCAGTGTGAGCTGTTTACTCTTCTGTGTGGTCAGCACAGCAAATGGGTAACTTGCTTGTTTGAAGTTTGTTTACCAGCTGTTCCATCTTTTGTACATTATGAACAACAATCATTATACACTGTCCCTTAAAACTAGGTCTGTCTCACTGTTTCCTTTCTCCCCATCTCCCCCACCTCCACACTCCTGGAGAGTGTCAGAGCACATATCCTTTCGCAAAATGCTGTCATCATTTGATAATAGCTGGTACGTCCTGAAGCTCCCAATGTCTGTATTGTGTTAGGTGATCTCTCATTCATACCTTAAGTTTCCTTCCTCAGTTTGGTTCAGATAATATACCTGTGACAGCTATTTCCAACTGTTGTGATGCACATTTGCTAAATCAACATTGCTGCTAGGTACTATGGAAGACTGAGATCTAATTCACTCACAGATGATATCTCATTTAACTCAGCGATTGCACCAGTGATGAGTCATCATCATCATGATGCAGGTCTTTTACACAGTACCGCTCCTGTCACAGTCTCTTGCCAGCGGCCCAGCTTTTCGGCCTCATGCACCTTCCTGCCAGTTCTGTCATGTGCCCACCTTCATGATGGTCAGCCCCTGCCTCTGTCTCTGTAGTGGTGACTATGCATACACACTTCTGATTTTTGTTGCCATTTTACTTGTCTGTTACCTCTGCTGTTTTTCCTCTTTTGAATCAAAACAACAGGTGGGGAGTTTGCACACAAACACAATCGTTTGAGATCTTTATTTCCTCTACACACAAGAGGCTATTTGTGAGAAATGACATATACAAAATACGTGTTTGTTATTGTCTGTTTTTCCTATTACTGATAGATTATAGTTTCCTTAGTCACAAGTTTTCATTGCTCATTGTTAGCCTGTCATGTTGCTCATGTAGTGTCACTGAAAGTGAATGTCTTTTGAGGCTCTTGGTTGTAGTGTCAATGAGAGAAACAGTCATTGTCTGAAGTACCTCTTAGACTAATGTTGTCTACTAATGCAACACAGGATGTGTTTCATCTGCACCTGATGTCTCCATGGTCATGCTGGGATGATATACTAACATTGTATAGAGTAACCTAGTCAGAAGTGGTTGCTGTATGTGTGTGTGTCTGTGTGGTGCTGTTTGATTGACTTTAACTTGCAGATGTCATGCGGGTGTCAGCCCACGGCTCATGGAGCATGTTGTCTGGCTTGTATAACATCTAGTTAGTGTCCCTACTTGAACCATAGATACCATTCTCATTAGCTCATTAGCTGCTCTCATTTCTGACCCAAGATTGCACAACTAACAATCATTTTGATGTTTCAGGTGTTTCATGTTTGCATTTTTACATACTTAATCGACCTGCCTCAAATGTATTCATCAAAGGAATGTTTTCAAATTGGGGGCAGTAACTTATATCTGGTTGTTTCCTTTTTGTATCTTATGACAAACTGGTTAGGGTTGTGACATTTAGCTGTGTTTTATTACAGGTTATGATCGTATTGTTTCTGTTCAAAACATTATCTTCTGCAGTTAGTTGCAATTGTATTGTCTGACTTGTCTTTTCCTGTTGAGTTTTTGCTTGTAATCTTTCAAATGGAAAATTTTCTGGTGGACTCTATCCAGACTGTCTCTCAAGTGGCTGATCACCTTGGGGAGGGGGGCATACATTAGCTTCTATTTGGTGGTGTGTGTTTCTTATAGTTACTTTTGACTATGTTTGCATAATGGTTGACCTTTATTTATTGTCATCATTTACTGTTTCTATTTTTACATATTGATTTAGTATTTTACTTATAACGGTAAACAAATTGTTAGAGTGATTGTTTTCACTTTGTGTGAAACACTGTCAGCTATGAAACTATCTTCATAATTATTGTAGTTTTCTGTATAAGACTGTCAGATGTAAAGTTTCACTTTTATCTTCAGTTTATCTTGTAGCTTATGTATAAGACTGTCATATGTGAGACTTCACTCATCTCATATCTTCAGTTTATCTTGTAGCTTGTGTATAAGACTTACATGAGACTTCACTCATCTCATATCTTCATTTTATCTTGTAGCTTGTGTATGACTGTCATATGTGAGACTTCACTCATCTCATATCCTAAGTTTATCTTGTAGCTTGTGTATAAGACTGTCGTACATGAGACTTCACTCATCTTTTAGCTTCAGTTTATCTTGTAGCTTATGTATAAGACTGTCATATGTGAGACTTCACTCATCTCATATCTTCAGTTTATCTTGTAGCTTGTGTATAAGACTGTCATATGTGAGACTTCACTCATCTCATATCTTCAGTTTATCTTTTCGTAGCTTGTGTATAAGACTAAAATTTGAAGCTTCGCTTGTCTTTTATCTTTAGTTTTATGTTATTGTAGCTTGCATATGAAGCTTCACTTTTCTTTTATCTTTACTATTATGATATTGTGGTTCGTGTAATAATCTTGTTTGTTACTCGATTGTAACCTGAAACTGATCTCTTGCCATCAATCTTCATAAATGTCCAATACAATTTTTTTTTTTTTTGGGTGGCCCTATGACTTTCCTTTTGAGATTGATCTTGGTTGCTTGCTCTGAACGTTGTGAAGCAATTTTCTCAGAAATATTTTATATCCAGCTTTATGTTACGTTGATATGTTAATTTATTGCTGTTGTGTGATGAGAATGTGTCAGATATCTGTGTTTCAGTCTTGTGATTGTATAAATATATACATTTCATAAGTAACTAACCTTCACTAAATTCTTGCCTGTCTCTATATACTGATTTTTTTTTTTTTTTTTTTTTTTGGGTGCTCGTGTTTATGGTTATCTGTATCTTGTTTCTTTTATTCTCAGCGTTCCTTTTTATTGTTATTTTCTACGTACTATTTTGAATGCTTTAAAGTAGACTTCCTTCACTGTGTTGACTCAGCTTGAAGCATTTTTTTTTATTATTAGTAAACCTGGTTTGGGTGTTGGCTTTTCATATATTTGTTTTGTTTCTTAGAAGTTGCCAGCTCCAGCATTTTTTGGTAGCAGTTTTGTTTTATTATCCAAAACAGATGTGATTATTTTTTGTTTATAAATAATAGTTTTCTTGATGTGGAGGAGTTGACTTTCTAACATCACCTCTTCTCTCGACTAGTTTCCCACGCTGTTTATTCAACCAGTGGCTGGCCATCAGGTGCACATTTTCAAGAGTAGATGCCTGTCTTTTGTCTTTGCTAAACTCCGTTTATTTTGATTGCTTATTTCTTTCAGGATAGCCTGAAGATTTCATGTATCAATTAAATGAAAGTCTTCTTCTTGTATTCATATTATATCTGTCCACGGCTTCTGTCTTGTGTACTGTCAGTTATTTCTGAGACATGTTCTTCCTCACCGTGATGTCTGTCAGCTTATTTTCTATTAGTCTTCCTCTGCCTCTCTTCCTCTTCAACTTTCCCATAGTCATGGTGTACTCCAGTTTACCCACTTATAACCTTCTTGGAAGTTGAAGAGGCATCTGCAGTTTACCCTGTTGGATTGACACCCCGGATGTAACCCTGAGTCCTGGTGATGGACCTGCAGGGAGCAGCCTGAAGGGGCTCCATCAGTCAGTCAGAACCATCACATATCTCTTTAGATGATGATTTCTAGCATTTGATTTTCTAATTGTTGGAAACCAGGAGATGTGTTTGATTATTCTCATAGTTTGCCTGTGATATGTGTGCAGTCTTCAGTTCAGAAAACACCCCAGTGCTGGTTTAAATCTGGCTTTATCATGTCCAGTTTTTTTTTTTTTTTTTTTTGCCTACTCTATGTTTTGCTCACTATGTTCTGACTTTTGTGTTTTTGTGCTGCTGGCTTTCAGTTTTTGCCAATCATTAATTTTTTTAAAGCTTCATTCAGAAGTCTATTACTTGCAGAAAATATGGCTTTAGCATTTAATTTATGACTTATTTATCTAGATGAGAGATGTTATCAACTAGAGTACATATTCAGTTATGTTTATGTGAGCATTCTTGTAGTATGTTACACATCTGTAGTACACTAGGGAGGTCAACAAGGGCAGAATGCATGTATACAATAATTTCTGTAATATAGAAAAGTCATGACAAAGAAAATCCAGTAGAAAATTGTTGAAACCTGTTGATTCTCGGGTCAGACAACACTGAGATTGTGTAGTTGATCTGACCGACCTGAGTTGGCTGTGTTCAGATGTGGCCAGCCAGCCAGCTAGTCTTGTTATCCAAGCTTGTTCGTATGCTTATACTCCAGAGTTTTTCATGTGTTCAAATAACTCTCTGTTGGTGAGATTTTCATTGTCTGTTATATGTGCCACTTTTAACTTGTAAGCATATATTTTGGGGACAATTTACTTTGTTTTCCAATTAGTACACATTTGTGATCATAGAAACAAGCGTTCTGAATATTGTTGGAGGCAGCAGCTGCTTATAGTAAAGAAAAAAAAATTGTCTTGCTAGTTTATAGAGGGGAAAGGTGGGGGGGGGGGTGTAAACGCTAACAATGGTTATATGTTAGCTGAAACATATAGGGTAGGTTTTCCTAGTTGTAATTCAGTGAATATTAGCTCTGCGCTCGCTGTCAGTTACTGGTGCCACTGGAATTGGTACTTCCAGCTTGCTGCTGAAGATGGGAATGGAGCACTTATGAGAAGGTCCTGAGTGCTGTGATATTGATTCTTAATTTAGAGTTGACAACTGT